GGCAGCTGTTGTCTTAGATAGGTAGATGTTTTGCGCAGTGGAATTATTATATAGAAAGAACGAAAGAGAGGAAATAGGAAGTGATCGTTTGTGCAGGTGATAGTCTTGAACAGTTGGCTGTTAGTTAGAGCAGCATGCTCGACTGTATTTTAAACCCCTATCGTTACAAATCTGATTATTTTGAATCCAGTACGTTTCGGCGCTGCTTGATTCAGATACAACATCTCAGCAGAAAAAAAATACGCTGCCTCTTGTAGGAATCGAACTAATGACTTTTGAATGGAAGACAAAGCGCTTATTCATTCCACCACATGAGCAATTTTTAGTTTTAGTCCGTAAAAGAGTTTCACGGTATATTCAACACAAATAGATCTTATAATAATAGATAAGAGGTGTCACTAGTGAGTAATATACATAGAAAAGGAGAGAAAACAACTACATGTATAGAGCAGCGGCGGGGTTGTGCGATAGGGGGGTCTGCGCGACACCCCTGTAGTATGAACCAATTTAAACATGCTAGAGCGTCCCCGCGTTTATCAACATCCGGCAGCACTCTTTCCTGTAGCACGAGATTATTGGCAGGTCGCTGTGGTTGCTAATTGCACGTACACAGAGGCAAATTATTTCCAGGCTTGCTGATTACGTATTCTAACAGTGCATCGGCCTGTAGTTGTAAGGCTGTCAATGCATTTTATGAAGATGTGTATACTTGCACTACACACAAAGCAGTGTGTTGTGCGTGTAGCATCAGTACTAAGCAAAGCACGGAGCCGCTCAATCTCTCTAATGGGATGGATGGGGGTTGGCCTAGACGGTCAGAGTATAACAGCGTATAGGGGTTGGTTGGCGCGCAGTGCCGCCATGGCGTCTGGTAAGCAAGGCCCACACCAGCCACTTGACACAGCCTCTGGACCAAGCGTTTTTTCGGGGCCATTATTAAGCCAGCTTGGCGAGAGGGGGTAAGGAATTTTGTGACGGACACCACGGAATCCGTCACACTGCAGGTGTCCTGAATTGAAGGCCTGGACAACAATAGCTCGGCTAAAAACGGCCCTGAGGGGATTCACCAAGTCAGGGCTGTTTCCCTACAACCCTGACGTTGTCCTCACAAGTGACAAACTGAACCCAGCTGCACCTTGACAGGGTCCCCTGCCCCTACCTCTTGTCATCCACCTCGTCTGCCTCTGCCCCATCCGCCTCTTCTGCTTCTGAACCATCCACGACGTCACAAACTCGCTGTCACCGACTCAAGGAAATATTCTCCATGAACTTTAAGCTTGGGGAGGAGAAGGTGGACCTGTGCC